TAAGTAATACTAACATTATAGGACATACTTTTCTTAATCAAACTAACACTTTTACCTCTACTAACACGTACTACCACTAACTTTTTTAACACTCGGACTTTTTCTACCACTAATTAATAATTAATCTAAAATAGAAAAGAAATAGAAATTTACAAAAGGAACCACACACTTTTCACACAACGGACAACCTCGATTATATTAACGCGCCGCGCACTTCTAACTTCCTTGAAGTCTTGAGCCAGAAAGAACGAATCAGTCCGACCGAAGTAACTAGAAAGTTCTAGAATTGCAGGGAGCTTACAATCTTCCTGTTCATTTTTTTTGACAAGCCCCCCATTGTTCAACCCGATAATTATGTTTCTTCCCTAGCTTGGATTTACAGTGTAAGACATACGGGAGTAGACCCAATTCATTTGCTTAGAAAATGAACACAGATTTGTGACACACAGATGGCAGCACTTGACTACCAAATGCAAGGTGCGTTGAAAGGAGTAGCTCTATGTTGGTGCACTTGACAAAGTCAATGCAAATGGGTATATGAAACCAACGGTTACAAGATCTAGTGAAATCATGAAATAGGTGGTGCATCAATTAAAGACAAATTTTATTTTAATAAAACACTTTGAAAATAAATGTGTTACCAAAATAATTGGTAACAAATTCACTTAAAACTACCTATAAAACCTTGTGAAACTTACTTGAAAATTCAGGTAACAGTGTTGCCAATTTAAATACCATCTGTTGATCCGGTAAAGTTTACGTGAAAATCACTTGATTTTTATGTGCAGCATTTGAACGGGATTTCAATCCCAAAACATGTAATATTAACCTGAAAAGTAAGATGGAAAATATCTACGTACCTTTCCAGGTAGGCCTAGAGAACAGGTGGGGCATAGTGAGCATTCCGCACTTTGGCTCTGGATCTCCAGCTGCATGACACAAATCAACTGGTAGTAGGTTCAATATCATTATGATATTGTTTATTGTTGTTTATTGTTTATTGAAAAATTCAACTGACAAATACTGTCTAAATGAATAAAACTTAAACTAAATAGTTACGGTCAACGGTACGGAAAAGGCCAAGTAGCCGATGACGAAACACGTCAGCTGATACATTGAAGTCGAACATATAAAAAAAGTTGTTGAATTGCCGGCTGATTGCTCGAATTGGCTCGTGTTGTGTATAATTCCGGCTCCGTGGTTCCAAAAACAGAAAGTCGCGTTGACGAAGAGACCTCTCAGGGGCATACATATTTAGTTGTGACAGCAGTGTTGGGCAGTCAATGTCACCTGTAAGCAGCTTTCCAGCGAACATAGCTTGAGCGACCGTCCGTCTCACCTCTAATGGCTCGATTCCCAGGAGACGGCAACGCTCCTCGTACGGTGGCAAGTTCGTTGGGTCACGCCAGTTGAGGAAACGAAGAGCATATCTCACAAACTTGCGTTGAACGGATTCAATTCTAGTGATCCAGCTAGCATGGAAAGGGCACCAAACAACTGAACTTGACTCCAATAAGGATCGCACAAGCGAGCAGTAAAGTGACCTGAGACATAGCGGGTCACGAAACTCGTCGGCAATTTTGAAAATAAAGCCCAATTGTCGATTAGCTCTGGAGATGACAGTGGATTCTGAAAGTGAGTCTGCAGTTCAAGGTAACGCCGAGATCCTTTATGAGCTCTGCACGAGCAAGACAGCGTCCGTAGAGAACATAGTCAAACATGATTGGTTCAATTTTTCGGTTATATGAAATAATGTTACATTTTTCTATGCTTAGACTCATCAAATTTCTTGAGCACCAGTCAGCAAAAATACCTAACATATTCTGGAGATCCCAGCAGTCCGAGAGGCTTTTAATAATTTTGTAGATTTTCGTATCGTCTGCATAGAAAACGCGCCATCCAAATGGTATCAGCAAGGCGACATCGTTTAAAAAGATCGAAAATAGTAGCGGTCCTAGCACAAACGAAGTGACAGACGGAGCGGCTCGAAAACTTTGGTGACTAACCTGCTATTGCAATTTTTCAGTGTACCACATGGCAACACCACTACTACTGGATTGTACCACATGGCAACACTACTACCATAGAGGTAACTCTAAGACCACTGGGTCCCGAAGAAAATCATTATTATTTTTGGCTCACTCAGTACCAGAACAACGGTCCCAAGCAGTCCCAAGCTATTTCACTCACCCCTGCATGTTCTGCATGAATCCACACACCCCTGATGTTATCTGTCAAACTTTCATAGCGAATCAAAACAAACATAGTGTAGTAATAGAATTTCAACTAGAATAGGGTACGTTAATCGTTTGCTTGGGACCAATAGGCTATTAAAGTGGTGAGCCAATTTAAAATCGTTAGTTTCGTATTGATTGTTGCTACTACTAGATTGAACTAGCATTTTCACCAAATGTACTAGAATGTTTTGGTTCTGTCTCTTTCACTCTACTCAAAACTGAAATGCACAAAAAAATTACAAAATGATACGCACTCTTTGCACACTGTCAAAGAATCATTGTACACAAAATCAACTTTGTTCAAATCAAAACAAAAAAACTAACCCATCTGGTGGATGATGGCACAAACTTCCAAGAAAATTCTATTACAGTGAACCACATTATTTAAATGGATTTCTTTGCCAGTTAGTCGTCTGTCACTTCGTTTGTGGTCCTAGGTTACTGCCTTGCGGAACTCCCGAGTTGTTTGAGAAAACATCCGATTCCGACGCGCCAATCTTGACATGTACATAGCGATTCACCAAGTAAGATCTGAACCAATCCACAGCAGTTGACGAGATGCCAAGTATCTCCAGCTTGGCCAGCAGGATATTATCATAGAGGTAACTCTAAGACCACTGGGTCCCGAAGAAAATCATTATTATTTTTGGCTCACTCAGTACCAGAACAACGGTCCCAAGCAGTCCCAAGCTATTTCACTCACCCCTGCATGTTCTGCATGAATCCACACACCCCTGATGTTATCTGTCAAACTTTCATAGCGAATCAAAACAAACATAGTGTAGTAATAGAATTTCAACTAGAATAGGGTACGTTAATCGTTTGCTTGGGACCAATAGGCTACTAAAGTGGTGAGCCAATTTAAAATCGTTAGTTTCGTATTGATTGTTGATATTATGGTCCACCGTGTCAAATGCAGCTTTTAGATCCATATACGCAGTATCGACTTGCCATCCTGAATCCATGCATCGCAGACAGTTAGAAGTGAACTGCACCAGGTTCGTGGACACGGAGCGCTTCGGGTAGAAACCGTGTTGTTCTGTATCGATATAATTTTTGCAGCGTGCGAACAGAGCACCATTTATGATAATCTCGAACAGTTTTGAGCAGGCACACAGGGAGGTGATTCCACGATAATTTATGACATTCCGTTTATCTCCTTTTTTGTGCACTGGGAACAGATAAGAAAGTTTCCAGCGGCAGGGGAACTCACATTGCTGTGCCGAGAGATTGAATAGCCTCGCAAGTGGAAGGCAGAGATTGGCTACACAACGTTTTAGAACTGATGACGGAATGCCGTCAGGTCCGGAGGCGAACGATAGCTTCAGTCTGCGTGTTGCGGCTTTCACCATGTCTTCTGAAATGCGCGGAATAACGAAACTAAACACATCACGTGGCATCCCAACAGCAGCATCCAGCACTTGTGTTGGCGAAGCGGAGAAATCGTTGAACACTTGCTTGAAATCCCTAATAAAAAATTACCATAACCGAATGACAACCCAAATGATTGAACTATTCTACATATGGTTTGGATGATACCCGGAACACGTCGTTAAGCAAAATAACCATAACAATTTTATTAGGGATGACGAGCAAACAAGTCGCATTTTTCTCTTTCACTATTAGCCGAGTCATTCCCGAGAAACATGGAACAAGGCAATCCGGATTCCTTCCGTTTTGAGTTGATAAACGACCAAAAACTTTTCGGATTCGTGCGAAGGTTCGCTTCCGTGCGTCTCACGTGTCGATTATAGAGAAAACGATTGTAATTTCAATAACTACGACTCGCAAAATTGAACAGTCGTTTGTAGTACGACGAGCGAGAGTTACAATACTTTCGGAGGGCGGCAGAGCATTGACGTTTTAGCACGCGTAGGCGTGGGTTAGACCATGCAGGCTTTAGCGGAGGTCGTCGAGCTGGGACAATGCGGAAAATAGCATCTTCCAGTGCAGCACTGAAAAAATCCACTGCATCATTCACGCTAGCGGCAGTTTCGATAAAATGCCAATCAATTTCCGCAAGCGCATTGTTCAATGCAACATAATCGGCCCGGCGAAAGTCCAAAGAGTAGCACTCAGATGACGGCGTAAAAAGAATCGGCGCAGGTAAACTAAATGACACGACGAGAGCGGGATGATCGGCATCGAGATCAATCAGTGGCTCGACGGGCAAGGAAACAGAAGTTCCCGGTAGTGCGGAATCATTTGCCAGGACAAGATCTAGCAAACGTTTATTTCGGTTCGGAAAAGTATTCACTTGTGTGAACCCGTAAAAGTTAAAACCGTCCAAAAGAGCACAGCAAGCAACCGGCATATGCGAAAGCAGTGGATCAATTAATGGTGTGCCACTGTCTGTAAAGCGCCACTGTAGACCAGCTTGATTGTAGTATTGATCCTACCACCAACCAATTTGTTCCGAACGGCCGGAAGACCAAGCTGGGGGGGCATGGGATGCTCACTATGCCCCTCTTACCCCTACGTGAATTTTATTTGCAGTATATTCAAGAATTGGTATATGTATCAATTTCCGAGGTTATGATGGTACATTTGGGGTGATGGGATATACATTTTAACGGGATTCGGGGTAATGGCATTCGGGGAAATGGGGTATAGGTTTTAATGGGATTCGGGTTTATGGGACATTTGGGGTAATCGCGTTCGGGGAAACGACATTCGGGGTAATGTAGCGCAAACAGTTTATGACCAGCCTCAAGCAAAACGGAAGGGATTTCACAATATTTAAGAAACTCAAGCTTACCCTTGTTCAATAAATTATGGTAATGATTATTTTTCATGTATAGTAATTCTCTTACAATCACTTTGAAAATAAAACGAACGAAAATTCCACAACTGTCTAAAATTACGCTATTATAGAACTACTACACTTTCCAACGACAATTTTCCGATGTCTGTCCAGTGCAGTCCACATTCTGTATTGATTGGCTCGTTTTGAATATTTTGTTTTATTTTTGTTGACAACTTCCTATTTCTTAGCCTTAGCTAATGTTAGTTCCTTACGTACGACCCACTTTTTTATTTTCCATCTTTCCCTACACGCTTGTTAAGAATATCGTCCAAAATATATCATTCAGTTGATGTGGTTTTATTTAGTGAGAGATATCTTTTTGGTAATACATTTGAAATTTGGCTTTTCTTTATCGAAAGTATCATTGAGAACCGATGCTCACATTGAATTTGTTTGTCCATATACGGTGTGTAGGTCCACATGCAAAGTGTATCTATCGTTTTGATTGATTACTGTGTAGTTGAGTTACTATTAGGAGGGTATAAGAGGTGTTGAAACAAAGCAGTGACTGCCCTGCTGAAGTTAATTCTTTACTATTTTTAGGAAACATTGCATGTGTACAGTAATAAGTACCAGAGAAAATAATTCAATATATGCTACATTGTTACCAACAAAGTATATCCTGTAATATATGCCCCTATTATCATATTTGATCGAAACGGATGTTGGGTATGAAAACCTTTTTAATGGAGCATCCGTTTTGATCGAAAACGGGAAAAAGGGCGACAGATACTCATAATAATAGACTGGTCGATGTGGCATTGACGTACCCAGAAGTCACCACTGTATCCAAACGAGCAGAGCATTCATAATCGATTATGAACAGTCGGAACTATTTTTTTAATTTATACGTTACATCCAAAACGCTTTGAACTGGATATTTTGCATTACACGAGAAAATGAGCGGAAGTAATTGCATATTCCGAAAGAATAAAGTAAAAGTTTAAACAAACAGATTGTTTCGTTTTCTCGCATTGCTGCTGAGAAATGCTTTAAAATCATCGCAGAAAACAGTGATTGCCGGTTCAGCTGATTTTATATCCACAGGTCTATTACTATGCGTTTCTGTAACCTGTAAACGTATGATTGATCAGACTCTAATGAAGCAATATGTATACCTCTTCCTACTGAAAGCCACGGAATCAAAACAAAATACTAAAAGAAGCATCTTTTATGAGAACTAAAAGTTTATTCTAGGCATAACTTTGAAACAATGAACATGTTGAACGCATATTAAGTATTTATCTAACTTGAATTAATGTGTTTTCCTAGTTCCTTGAGGACAGGAAAAATTATCTCTTAAAAAAATATCTTAAAACAATTTATAGGGAAGCATTTGCGCGAGAAGGCTATATTCACCGTCTCGCGTGTAGTCCATTCCGGGGGGTTCAGCACGCTGGATTGTGTTAATAATTTGCAAATACATTTGATTTCAGATTACAATGCTGATTACATCCATAATTCGCAAGTTTTACGAAGAGGGAAATTTTGTTTGCATTGCGCGCTCTTGGTTGTCCGTGTTGTCCGATTTGTCATATAGCGAGTAGAGATCCTTCTCGTGTGGCTATTTGGCTTCTCACCCTGGAGAGGACGATTTATTGGTGATAGGGAGAAGACGACGGCCCCTTGATGGCACGATTCTTCCTGCCGGTCATGCTGTATGGGTGCGGGTGAACACTGCAAAGAACAGAAATTCTTCGATCAATCGTATCCTGGAAAATAGTGCCGTTGGATACGGTTTTTTTGTTCACTGATAATGACGAAGCGACGACGGTTAGCGACCACTCTCGGACTGATGAGGAATATTTCCAGTAAAGCCAAGTTTCTGAGAACTTTGCTAGATATTTTATCGCATTGTTTCACACAATTATTGATTTGAAATGATTTGTCGACAGAATAGATAGGCCTATAACGAATTGCATTCTCCTGACCTCAGATCCGGTCATTAGAATACAATATCAGCCTCTGAAAGAAGATAGATTTTTTTCGATCTTTGAAATTCTTCGGCCAATTTCGACATTACCAAAGTGTACTGCCGCGCTGACGAAGATACTTTAATCAGTAAGTTAGTAGGAGAGAGGCAGCAATATGTATACGTTGAAGCTTAACCGTAGATTTGTTAACAGGTAAGAACATTCTAATACCTTGTAGTAATGTGACCGGCTCCAGTTGAGGGTGGCATCGCGAGCGGGGACGAAGCCGGTGATCGAATTGCCCTACGTGGCGTCACCGTTGGGGCAGCAGGAGCACCGGTAATGCGATTACGATGGGCTGAGGACGAAGCCACCGACGACGGCGATGACGAATGATGTTGGTATTGAGCACTACTCTCCTCCGTCGGCAAAGTCACATTGTACGGAGTGTTTGCGATAGCACGGATATGCGGCGGGCTAGATAATATTTGCAATGAAGAAGAATAGCAGCGAATAGTGCGAAGTTGGATAGGAATAGGTTGGTTTTTATTGCAGTTTATAAGCATAACGTTCCGCTTGATTTGACGAATAACAGTCGTTTGACTACGTAATCGAAGGTAAATACGAAGGCATTCTAGCTGACAATGAATTTAGAAGCGTATCTTCAAATTATCTTGAAAGCCCACCTACATATCACAAGTTGATCTTGTGTAATCTTCCAGACCAGGGTTGTTAATCAATAACCGTCGATAACGTCTCCATTGAAAATTCACCATTGTAGGCGGTAACGCTGACGATATGGACAGTTATCAATTAAAAACCACGCTCCAGACTGTATAACAACGATCAAACTCAATGAGAACTTATGGCGTAAGAAAACAAGTACTTACTTAGGCTGATTAGAAGGCAGTTCTTCGATTTGAAGAGCAGGCCGACGACCACCCGCTATGCGCATTGTGCTGCGCGCTTTGGTTTGAAACTCGCGATCAAAATCCTCTGCATCCTCGTCATCCAGATTGATGTAATCCTGACGTTCCTCATGTTGGCCAGTGCGTACATTTTGCTCTCTTTCGATGATATGTGCACGTTCGCCAATATGATGTCCGATGGCCATTTTCTTTGTTCCACTGCGGCTGTCTTGCACCGTCTTGCGTGTCTCCTTTATTCCTCCCGGTCCGGCGCGAGTGCTAGAAGTAGCTTGGTACACCTGCGGTCCATCCGGTCCTGAAGTCATCGAATAAACACTACTGGAGCTGTATAGTGTTCCATCGTTGTTGTTCAACAGCCGGTTCATATGCATATTTGGATGTTGCATTGCCATCAGCTGAGATCCTCCACGAGGTCCAACCAGCGATGGTCCAGCAATGTGATCCAACGCACCGAACATTCCAAACGGGTTAGCAATCAACGAGTTCATCATGTTGTTCATTTGGCGCATCGCACGCATTTGATGACTGAAATGAAAAATGTTTTAAATGCCGATCCACACTCAGGGTTGTTCTTTCATTTGCTATAAAAAAATGTGATGGTGAAATATGAAACCATTAGGGTAGGTATTCCAGTAATAGTGGTGTACCAATAGTTGTGGTATGGGGTTTATGCCAAAATAATAGTTAAAAACCGGATTAATTTATTGTTCATAGATAATTCTCATGAAATAACAACGATTTGCATTCTTGGAACCGTAGTTCTGACAACTTAAACTATAAGGGAACAGAATTTCATCTTGGTGGCTGGGTTCGATTCCCGGTCCGGCATAGGCATTTTTCGGGTTGGAAAATTGCTCGACTTTCCTGGACAATAGAGTATGATTGTATTTGCCACACAATAATACTAATGCAAAAGCGGTATATGCTTACACCGAAAATAGTTTTCAGGTAGCTTCCATTGGAAACACACATGATTTTCATTCATAATCAAAATTAATGGATTTCATCTGAATTTCACATAACGTTTAAGCGATCACATTAATTTTATACGTTTTTTCATATGAATTTCATCGACTTCATAATATTCATGTGATTTTGTGACGGGATTTGCTGCTATGTGATCACAGGAAAGCTAAGTGAAATCGAAGACATCAAATCAAGAAGACAGATACAGTAGCGCTTCGCTCGAGCGAAGGTGAAAGTAACGCATAGAGAAATGAACAAATACACAAACCTTTCTACTGAGGTTGTAATATTTGCTATCAAACTATCGAACGAAGAAGCATTTACCTTTGCACGGCAGATGACGCGACTGTGCCGGTCTCATAGCGGTCGTATGAGAAAATGGAAGAGTTGTAAGTCTTCTTGATATGTAGTCTTCGGTGAAGTTCACATGGCTTTCATCCATAGATCTTAATTAACAACTGTGGAATTGCTCAAAAGAACACAGCTTAGAGCAGGACTTTAATAAGAACGTTAAATCATGTTGGTGTCTTCGACGCACTTATTCCTTGGTTTATCAGGAGTAAGTGGACAGAAGACATTAAAACGATACTATGTGAAAGCGTTCTTTTATTAGCGATTCCGCACTTTTGAGGATTCCAGTTAGAAATGCAACATACAATAATAAAAACATAAAAATATATAAAGGTAAATTACATCTTATTCATTTTCGCGAGGGACACACACTTCCTTGTATGAGTGCGTGAAATTTAAAATACATCCTCAGTTATTTAAATACTTTGAAAATAGTAATAATACTTTGAACGGCATGAAATTATTAACGACAATTAATATAATTAAAGGTGTTTTAAATGTATCGACAATAATTAAAATATTAATATTTGACAGCAAATAAAGCAATTAACGAATTTTACAGTGTATTTAAAGTAATGAAAGCAGTAATGATAAGATTTTAAGTTGGTCAGCAGGTTGCGTGTCCCTCAATTTCGCTAACTATTATCATCGTCAGGAGGATTAGTTGATAAAAAATCCTTGAACGCGCTTTTTTTTGCGTCAAGATGGATCACGTTAAGAAATGTCAGCAATGAGCTAGGCTTTCATTTACCACCCTTGACGATAATAAGTAAAGATATTGACGATGACATAAACACCCTACATCAACATTGAGAATAATGACTGCGACTAGAATACATTTTAAAATATGCTCGATCTGTCATCCATGTTGTTTTCTTTTCATCGATATTTATACCAAACCTTTTTTTTCTGAGCGTTATCACAATAAACTTTCATGACGTGTTGAACAGTTATTTGACATTGTTTGTGCTAAAATGATTTTTCGAGCCAAACTGATATCAACTTATATGACTTATGCGTCAGTGGCATTTTCAAGAGGCTACCATCAACCTCAGAATTATTCAAAGGAGCCACCATCATCATGGCTAGTCAGTTCATTCAACGCAATATCGATTTTGTCTGAGTTAATCAATTGCACTATATCCAACTACATGGCACATAATGCTCCTAAAACCACGCCACATCGAGTTTTGTTGTAATTCATTTTGATGCTATGTCCAAGCTTCTGAGGACAATAAATTTACGCCACATACAAGGGGAGATGAAAATCTTTCATCTCGTTGGTGGCTGATTTTGAATCGCTATTTTGCGGTAGAACTTACGATTCCACTTACCCGAAAATAGGATCATCCTCGAGATCTCCCAACATTCCAAACAACGACATAATGGAGAATAGCTTTCAGTGCTATTTAAAACCAATTTTTCGGCAAATTCACTGCAGTATTATATTTCTACCGATTATTCCTTCACTTTTCTTCACAAAATGATGGCAATTTACTAAAAGAGCAATGTAAAAAATAAAATGCGCGGACAACCAACTTTACGAAACAAAAATTGACAAGCCGACGTTTTACGTTGGAGTGAATGAAACACAAAAACACTGTAAAATTGCGTTTAGCACATACCCTTGACAAGATTATACATAAAATCCTATAAGTGCGAAGCGTTCAAAATCGTGTAACTCAATGTTTTGAGGGATGGCTCTAGAAAGTGCAAGAAAATTCTGTCAAACAGGCCTGTGCGAGAAAAAAACTAAAAAAAAATCGTGCAGGCCGTACAAATATTACGTAATGCGAAAAATGTACACGGCTGGTAAGATTCCCAAAAATCAGTCGAATTCCACTCAAAATTGAGTTGAGGTAAATACAAATTCGTAATCTTGATTAATTCCTAAATTTCATCAATTTTGGTGCACTGGAACTATTTTAAATAAGTGCGATTACATTAGTATACACGCAATATTGGGGCTACTCAATTTTGAGTCGAAAATCACTCAGTCCAGCCAAAAGGGAAGTTACCCAAGAATGGGTAAATATGCTTTAACTCAAATCTGAGTATACGTGCCAATGGGAACTGGGTACACACGCTATTTTGAGGCTACTAATTTTTGAGTCGAAAATTAGAGTCGGTGTATAATGAGTCACGCCAAGAGAAAAACAGTTGAACTCGCATCATGGTTTTCGAAAGATTCTCATTTTTTTCACTTGGCAACAGAGGACTTCTACAACAACTTCAAATGACTTCTAGCGAGAGAAAAAATCTTGCGGCTGTAGTAAATCATTATATCAGTGATTTTGTCAAATTATCTTAACAAAAAATTGTAGAAATTCACATTACTAATCAATACCGAGCGTATCCCATGACAATTTAACGCTCACTGCGTGTTTATGCTCATTTCTTTGATTATATTTTATATTTTATTGCAATACCTTTCGTGGACCTTTCATAGCATCGTAATGTTTATTTACTTTGCACGATAGGTAGCCGGTTTGACAGTTCAATAGGTAGACTTGGCTTCACTCTTGGCGTGACTCATTATACACCGACTCTATCGAAAATCACCTCGAAAATCACTCAATTCAGCCAAAAGGGAAGTTACCCAAAAGGGGGGCGACCCCGGCGTAGTGGTTAACATCCATACCTCTCACGCCAAAGTCACGAGTTCAAATCTCACCCCCGGACAAGTCACAAATGACCCAAGAGTGTTAAAGTGACTAAAAAAAAAAAAAAATAAATAAATAAAAAAAAAGTTACCCAAAAATGGGTAAACATACTTTTACTCAAATTTGAGTAAACGTGCCTATGGCGGAAACTGGGTAACGGTTACTCATATGATGACATTTGTCAACTGAGTAAACCTTACCCATTTCGATAAAAACGAATGAATGCCCACACGGATAGAAATCTCATTATACCTTTTGGCAAATTTCCATTGCTGATTATTCATAAAATGTATAAGTCAACGAATAAGCAGACGCCTTGCAAAAAATTAATAAAGATCATGTGTCAAATGAAATGTATAAGCGGTCACACATACCTTTTATGCATTATAATAGGACCTATGTGGTTTGTCTTATGGAATGTATAAGGCTGATGCTTTGGCAAAAATGTATAAGTGAAACACATGAATTAAATAATTGATTTTCGTTTCGTGCAATGAATGCTTTATATATAAATTATTTCGTCTAGGAAGAATATTAGAAACACATCATGAAAATGAAAACTATAATCACAGAGAACAGACATCCAAGTCAAATTCCTAAATTGTGTAAGAAATTTAACTACTATTTGGATAGACATTTGAAACTAGCAATATCGTAGTGGCGCTAGTGTCACTGCCCATGGACGTCGATGACCAGCAGACGTCATCTTAACATAAATGTCAAAATTGTTGTGAGCAAAACATTGTTTGTTTAAAACCGATCCAAACATGGGTCGCAAGTTCGAGTTTCATTGGTGCGTAAATAAACAAGGTGCGAAACATCTTTTCACAGTTTTCCTAAGGATGCCAAATTTCCCGAACTACAGGAGATTTTCTTTTCACGTGGAGTCCAAGCGCTTGCAACGAAAAATTTATTTTCCGACCACGTCCCCCCGGAAGCTTTTCGGCTCGCTGAATCATTTGAAGATACGCCGCCAGTGAACTAAAAAAAAGTCAGTTTTGCTCCTGACTACTATGCCCAGTTAAAATTGGAACGAAAGACGGTTGTAGATCTACAGGAAAATGTAAAAAAGCTTCAGTAGTTCTTTATTCGAAAATAATGGTTCCGCAGAAACTCGATTGATTTCCATTGTTTTGTCTTGTTTGTTTTGAACTGATTTGACAGTTCATTTGGATACACGTTCAATGAGATCAACCCAAATTTTAGTTCAGTTAACTCATTAATCGCAAAAAGTGATAACTCGAGTCACAACATTCCGTATGGCGGCGCTAGTGTTTCTAACGTATTTTAATTTGAATTCTTACACATAATTTTTCGAAAAATTTGTTCAAGCTTGGATGTCTTTTCTCTGTGCTATAATTCTGTATTTATTGATACCAATTAATTATTTATATAAGAGTTGCATGCCTCACCAACTAGCTGAATTTTCGTCATCCAGACTATTACCATAGAGGTAACTCTAAGACAAGTAGGTCCCGAAGAAACGTGCTCAACTTTTTGGCTCACCTCTGGTACTATCTTCGGTCCCAAGCTTGTCGAATCACCCCTCGAAACATAGGAAAAACCAATAACCCCTCATTTTATCTGTCAAACTTTCATAGCGAATCAAAACAAACATTGCGTAGTACTAGAATTTCGACTAGAATAGGGTACGTTAATCGTTTGCTTGGGACCAATAGGCTACTAAAGTGGTGTTAGTTTCATATTGATTGTTGCTATTACCATAGAGGTAACTCCGAGGGTAACTCTAAGACCACTGGGTCCCGAAGAAAATCATTATTATTTTTGGCTCACTCAGTACCAGTCCCAAGCTATTTCACTCACCCCTGCATGTTCTGCATGAATCCACACACCCCTGATGTTATCTGTCAAACTTTCATAGCTAATCAAAACAAACATAGTGTAGTAATAGAATTTCAACTAGAATAGGGTACGTTAATCGTTTGCTTGGGACCAATAGGCTACTAAAGTGGTGGGCCAATTTAAAATCGTTAGTTTCGTATTGATTGTTGCTATTACGTAGCTGCTTTACTTCTAAAAACCTCACTGCACAAAAATCGCCTGTACACAACGTGTGGCATTTTGAACTTAAGAAAAATTGATATCAGAACCATTTACCTAGAATCTGGGTAGATGCCACTCATCGGAGCAAATCCAGTTTACTCATTTTTTGAAAACTCCATACAGCATGCAAAAATGAGTGCGATCTACCCAGTCACTGAGTAGCCTCAAAATAGCGTGCACATACACTCAAAATTGTTACAAAACGAATATAGATTAAATTTTGTGCATTTTATGGTTTTTCAAAATGTATACATTGGTTCGATTAAAATTTTCGTCAAAATTATACTAAGTCCGAATAACGGAGTGGAATTCGCTCAGTGTTTACTAAAATGACAGAAAAAGAACATCTGGATTCCCTTCGGAGCTTCGTGCTGATGAAGAGCTTTGTCCCGGCGGATTTCTACTGCGCCTGTAATCTGCTGGGCAGCATCGAAATTGTAAGTATTTTTTTTAAATAACATTCACAAAAAAATAAACTAATTAAAAAGGCTTCCTGAGACAATTTTTATTTTTATTTGAAAACAATAATATTTTCCATAAATAAAATAAAGAAGCGAAAAATACGTTCTCTCGAATAAACCGTATCTATGCATTGAAAGTATATTTCGATTTTATACTATGGCACGCATAAACAATTTTTATACTAAGTTTGCATTCTCTCCCTTTATACCGACCTTTGCGTCGGTACGAAGAGATGCGATTTAGCGTAACTTTTATACTATTTAGATTTCAGTATTTTTTGAGTGTACTTAATCTACACGGAGATGAAAAACTACCCAAAATTAAGTACACTCTAAAAAATCCTCACGTCCGATTTACGTGAAATATCACGTAACTGATCTGTATTTAGAAAATCTCAAATGTTACGTGACGTTAGTAACTTTGACCTGCATTACACGTCATGTCCACTAAAAATGTTGGTGAAATCGACCGGTTATTCACGTAAACAGATTTAGTGTATTTGTGTTTGTGTGTTTGGGACTTCGATATTTGCGCGAAAAGATATTTACGTGATTTTCAGGTACGCAAAAAAAGTCAATATGGCGTCACCAAGCGTGGTGGAAGAACACCTCAAAAATTCAAAATTTCCCAGCAGCTTGCTACAAATATTGGACGGTTATTTGATTCATTTACATTAATTTATTAATGATTATATGTAGCCTTTTGCTAGTTTTATAATTTCAGACGGTGCGTCGGAGGCGAACCAGCCTAAGGCTGAAAGCCTCCTAAATAAAGCTAAATTAATTAATTAATTTCAGACGGTGGCATCAGCATTTTGAGTCTGCAAACAGTTATTAATATGTCGACGGCAATAAAAAATCTCATAAACATTTCTACCACCCAAGTAGTCAATAATTTGCAATTTGATGAGTAAATATACACGCTAAGATGCACATACCTTAAAGTCGGTAAAGAATACCTAAATATCGGTAGAAATTACCGATAATCGAAGAAAGTGCACATACCTAAATTATCGGTAATCATGGATTACCAATAATTAACGTTAAATATTACCTAATTTATAGTAAAAAATAGCCTATTTAAAGTAAAAAGTAACAATTTTTATCGGTAAAAAATACCGATAACTTTTTACCGATAATTTTAGGTAATCGTAGCTAAGAGTGTAAGTATCAATCTATTTATATCTGCCCGATGAAATTGCATAATTTTGACTGCCTCTACATATAAGTTCCATTATTTTCATTCAAAATTCACGTAAAAAATATGTGAAAAACAT